GGTGGGCAGGGCTGCCAGGCTGTCCCCATCCACAGGGCAGGGCATGGTGGGATGGGGCTGGAGCTGGCCACTCTATAAAGGGGGGGTCTCTCTGCCCAGGGGAGGGCAGTGAGGAGAAGGGAGGAGCTGCATCAAGAGCCAAACGAGCCAGGTGAGGGATTTTCTTCTCGTTCACTCTGTGCCTGTTTGCTGGCAGTAAAGCAGCTCTGGACAAAGGTCTTTGGGCAGCCCAGGGGGTCTGTTCTGTCCGAGAGTTACAGCCTGGCTGTTAGGACGGTGCTGTGCTGCCTGTGGGTGTGTAACTGCTGGGGAGAGGGGATGCTGGGCAAGAAGGCAGCCAAAGGCAGAGCCCAGCTAGGGCGAGCGAGGAACGAAGCGAGTTTGGGTTTGCTTTGTGCTGCTGCCTCGGCACAGAGGCCGGGCAGTGGCTGGGAGGGTCCTGGAAGGGGCGGGGGGGGACACTGTCACACTCACATGGCAATCCACTGCTGCAGCGTGTCTCTGAGGTAGTCCTGGCTGATGGGGTGTGCCAAGGTCCGCAGGGCTGGCTGGAACTCCACCACCGACTCGGGGAGGTACCTGAACCAGCTGCTCAGCTTCACCTCCTCCTCCAGAACGCCACCTCTCCCTGAAAGCACACAGTCAGGGGCTCAGCCCAGTGTGGGGGGCAGCCTCCTGCCTGCAAATCCAGGCAGGCAGAGGCCTAAGGCAGAGCTGCCTGGGTGCTCACCTGCTGGGTGCTGGCCTGTGGTGCTCTCCAGGGTGGAGAAGAGCAAGCCGCAGGGCAGGGCTGGGTCCGGCGGCATCCCTTCAGGCGTGGTGTAGAAGAGGGCATGAGCCTGGTACAGGGTAGTGGTGAGCAGCTCCATCAGTGAGCACACCTGAGCTTTTATACCCGCCCCTGCAGAGAAATGCCTTTCAGCCAAGGCAGCCCCTTCAGCAAAGGGGCCAGCAGCCCTGAGCTTCTAGTGGAACCTTCTGGGGAAGGGCTGGAGGGTGAAGGACTCAGCCCTGTGCCCCACCTGCTTCCCCATAACGATGGGCTTGGCTTAAGACCTTGAGCACTGGTCATTTTTTGAGGTGTTTCGCCGCTGGGGCAAAACGCCGCCAGCAGTGTTGGCCCCACCACGACACGGTTGCACCCCACCATCATGAGCTTTACAGCGCTAACCCCCCCGCTCTTCTGAGGGGCAAGAGGAAGCGAAGGGGGTTACCCTGACTTTCAAAAGGGGGGTGGACCCGTCGTACTGACCGTGGTGGGGCTGGTTGAGGAGCTGCTGAATGGCCAGCTTCCTGGCCAGAAGGAAGTCGGCGAGGGCCTGGCGCGGAGAGCTGTCCTCCAGGAGCATGATGGCACACAGGGCTTCGGCCACCGCCTGGTCCGACACAGTCTGGCTCTTCAGCAGGGACTTGCTCTCCTGCAGGATGGTGGATCTGGCGAGGGAAGGAGGTGGACGGTCACTGGTCTCAGTGCTTGACCGATATTCAGGAGTGATTACGCGATAGCCCACCAAGCAAGGGTGCTATCTTCCCCGGGCAGAAGCGGGGCTATCTGGGTGTTAGGGGACTAGGTGAGGCGTTCTTGCCCCAAGCAGAGCAGGGCAAGAGCCATGGGGTCTCACATCATGGGCTCACAGAACAGTTTGGGTTGGAAGAGACCTTCAAAAACCATCGAGTCCAGCCCC